GGGGAAAAAAAAAAAAAGAACTTATGATCATGTTGATAAATTACTGAATTCTCCTGTTACAAGTTAGGAAACAGTGGGGTTTGTTCCATCAGTTTGATTCACTAGACTGTTGATTTCTGGTCTCCCTAGAACCATTGTTGACTGAACAGGAAACTGTTTCTGTTATCTCTGCTAATAGTAAAGAGCACGGTGCAGATATTCAAAATAAATGATGTGTAACTACCCAGAAAGTACAAGTGCTATCAGGGACAGATTCCTCATAGCACAGTAATGTCATTTGGAACACAAGGTAGATTGTTACATAATTAATATGTTTGTGATATCTAAATTATTGCATGTTTAAAATTCTGTAGATGTGAAAATTTTGGGGAAGAAGTATTTTTTAAGAGTTTATGTCATTTTTAAATAACATATAAAGGGTATGCATGCATTACTTTGTCAGCTGATGTTTCATTGTTTCAGAAGTTGCGTGTAAATAAATTACTATCTGAAATGCCCAAGTAAAATGCTGTAAAATGTTTTAGTGTGGCCCTTTTTATAGTGACATATCTTTTCATAATTCAAAAATTTTGTTAAATTTTAAATCTAAATGGTCTAGTCTTTTTCTCACATTTTGGTGTGAGAAACTAAGAACATAGAATTATTCATGTTCTTAGTGATTTTAAGGGCTTATTTTTAAGTGTATTATAGATATTTTTTATTTAAAACATGTTTTTTAAAAAATTATTATAGCTGTATGTTGATGTCTCATCTTGAGGAACCAAAAGTAACAGAAGATGAAGAACCACCCACAGAACAAGATAAGAGGAAAAAGATGGTAAGTTGTAAAAGTAGCTTCTAAAAATGAAGAACCATATATTATCATTTTCTGTAGGTTCAGAAATATCTCGTCTGTTTGTCCATCCAGCTATATATCTATCCATCTATCCCATGTTACAAAATTAATGTAAAGTGTACCCTAAAACAGATACGTTTTATTCCTAGTACAGAAAGTTAAGGATAACTTTTCATCTGAAATAACTGTTGCTTATCTTACTGCAGAGCAGATGATTTAGTGTTTTACTTGTGGAAAGTGTGTGACCTGCAAACCTTATTTAAGTGGAAATGTGTGTTCTTCTGTTTTGAGGAGATGTGCTGAAATTTCCTTGCATTGCCTATTGTTTTATAGATCTTCACATGAACTTTTGCTGACCTGCATCATAGGCTTTTATAAAAATGCCCTTAAATTAACCACAACTAGTAAAAACCACTAATTCTCACCAGAGCAATCTGATAAGGGGAAAAGAACAAAAAAATAGGAAATACCTAAAATATCTTGCCTTTTAAAATTATATATAATCTTGAATGTTTAAATATTTATTTTGACCGTGAATATAAAATAGGTACATAGGAAACTTTTTCCCCTTTTCTTTTGGAATCTTTTCTTGTCTTCTGGCCTCATCATTTAACTAACTTTATTATACCTTCTTTCCTCATTTGCAAAATGAAAACAATTGTATCTGCCTCATAGATAGAATAAATAAATATTTAAAATGGTTATGGATACCTAGTAATTACTCTGTGTTAGCTATCATTTTAATCTGATCATTGTATTTACACCTTGCATTACTGCACGTTAGCCTTCAATGGCTTCATCCTTAGCTTATAGCTAACATCGCACTGCTCTTAGAGCATGTGCAATGCTCTTCTTTTAAACTGTTTGAATTTAACTCATTTTACTTTGCTTTACGCTAGGTATCATCTCCCTAGCACATAGTATAGAGGACAGGACAACATCCAGGGATTCTTAAGACCTGAATTCTAGTCCTTGTTGTACTATTACTTGTAACCTTGAGCAAGTCACCTTCTCTTTGTAGATCCGTTTTGCCTCATCTGTGAAAAGCGGCAGAAATTGGGTTAGCAAATTTCCAGGGCCTGTGAACTGAAAAATTACTGTTAAAACTCTTAATGTCATTCCTTTTCTTCCCCCAAAACAATGTTTATACATGTAATAAGTCCTCATTTAACATCACTGATAGTTTCTTGGAAACTGTAACTTTAAACAGAACAACATATAATGAAACCAGTTGTACCATGGGCTAATCTAAACAAGAAGCTCCTACAGCATATTTCTGGTCACAAAAAACATCACCAAACTTCTAAATAAAGATCCAAAACACTTCTAATATTTAACATTGAAGTAAGTGTGAGCTGTACATACATTTAAGAAATATTAATAAAAACAAGTTAAATTATTTTCCCCCTTTTTTGGGGAATCAGTGAGTGATGATGGTTGTGGTGGTAAGTTAAATCAAGGAATAAATGTTTGCAAAGTGAAAATTGTAAGGAGCACCTCCTACTACCTTGCAGTTCAAAAACAAAAAGAACAAATCTGGCGAGCTTGCTGAAAGCTTTCATACAGCAGCATTTATATGCATTTGTATGACCATAATTTGTATTCATTCATTCCTTCATTTTTCCAACCCACTTATTCTGCTTTAGGGTAGTGGGTAGCTGGAGCCTATCCTAGCAGCTAAGGGTGCAAGACGGGAACCAGTCCTGGATAGGACACCATTTCCTGACAGGGTGCACTTGCACACACTCACACTCACTCAGATGGGAACAATTTAAACACGCCAGTTTACCTAATGTGCACATCTTTGGGTTGTGGGAGGAAACTGGAGTACCCAGAGAAAAGCCACACAGACATGGACAGAACATGCAAACTCCACACAGACAGTGGCCCCAGCCCGAATCTATTTGTTTTTCTTATCAAAGTTATAATGAAATGATGTTAGCAAGGACCTGCTGCACAGTCATGCACTGCTCAACAACACAACATTTCGGTCAACAGCAGACTGCATACTGTAGTGGTCCGGTAAGATTATGATACCATATTTTTACTGTACCTTTTATGTGTTTTGATGTGTTTAGATACATAGATACCACTTTGTTATAGTTGCCTACGGTATTCGCTATAGTAATGTGCCATACAGATTTGTTGCCTAGGAGCACTAGGTTATACCATATAGCCTAGGTGTGTAGTAGGCTGTACCATCTAGATTCCTGTAAGCACCCTCCATGATGTTTACACAGGGAACTTGCCTAACCATGCGTTTCTCAGAACATATCCTCATCTTTAAGCAATGTATGACTATATTCCTTTGAAATTAAACTCTTGTGTGGTTTTTTGTTTTGTTTTGTTTTTTGTTTTGCAATGGAGTCTCGCTCTGTCACCCAGGCTGGAGTGCAGTGGTATGATCTCGGCGCACTGCAACCTCCGCCTCCCAGGTTCAAGCAATTCTCATTAAAGGCTGTCTCTTATACACATCTAGATGTGTATAAGAGACAGACAGGTGGTGGATACACACCATTACATTTATTAAGACCCATAGAATAGACTACAGGTGCGTGCCACCATGTTCGGCTAATTTTTTTGTTTTTTTAGTAGGCACGGGGTTTTGCCATGTTGGCCAAGCTGGTCTCAAACTCCTGACCTCAGGTGATCTGCCCACCTTGCCTCCCAAAGTGCTGGGATTCCAGGTGTGAGCCACCATGCCTCACCTATGTGGGATCTTAAATACATGGAAAGTATTTTTTTTTCACCTACAGTAATAATAACCTTTAAGTATAGGCTAACATTTGTCTTTCTGCCACTCACACCCCCACTTTGTCATTCTAATTATATGTAGTATTGGTTTATAGAACAACCATTATTTTTTTAAGTGACTGATTTTATTTGAAGTTATTTACTGCAGTAGGTATTTAATATAGATTTATATTGTCATCTCTAGTAAGATTTCTTGTACCTTGGTCTTGCTCTTGGATACCCACTGCTCTTGGATATGCTGAGGATACCACAGCAGTTTTTGACTGAAGCTGGGATTGTGTATTGTAACATTTAATAAATCTAATTATGAATTCATGCCAATTTTCCAACAACTTTAAACAAATAAAATTTGTTTCCCTTGTCTCTTAGAATTATAAGTTAATGTATTTTTTCAGTAATTATGTCATTCTTGAACTGTGTTGTCTATAACGTTAGACATTTTTTGAGAACTATCCAGTGATATCTTGGTTGTTTCTTCAAAGGGAAAGAGTAAGTATTTGCTGGTAAATGGTTATGAATTATTCTTTACCAAAAAAAAATTAACAACAAAGGTTTTTCTCTTTTTAAAATGAAATTATTTACTAGGAAGAAAAATATAGCTGCTTAGTTCCAAGGTCACATAAATGAAAATTTGATTGGCTTACTGTCATTGTTGTCTTAAAGTAGTCCCTAAAATGTGGTGTCTGTGTTTCAGCAGCTGCTTTGGTAGAGAATAGCAGTAGTGATTGTAGTTCAGAAAGGCAGATGATTAATATTATATGAAATGTGCCAAATAATTTTCCATAGGTTTCTGAGAATTCTCTATGTTTTATTTCAAATAAGGATGAAATTTACACTCAGGAAAGCTATTAAGCTGTCCAGACTTTTGATCTCCCTTTTCATTCAGCCTCTCTCTCTACCTTTCATTGCAGTGAAATAATACTTACAGTAGCAAATGCAGCTCAAGTATTTCATTTAATATATGTTTCCTTTCTGTCCAGTATATTATTATAGTAGAATAATTCATGACCTTTACTATAAAGACTTGAGCTAATATATTAATATCTTAAGTTTTTTGTAATTTTTTGAAACCTGACTTATAGTCACTTATAAGTTGTAATTTCAAAATTCTAGTTTTGAGCACTTTAATGCTTTCTC